ATCCCTTATTCAACTCACCACAACCCAGTCTTCCCAATTTGACACTCAAGTTACCAATTACTTCTACTGTGTCCTCTGGAATACTGCTCCATAGGTAACAAACTAGCTTTTATCTTGAAGTTTTTCCTTTCCCACTCTTTTCATCCTCTAGCTCTCAATAAGACCCATCTCCTTCCTAATAACACAGAATCCCTGGCCTGCCTTTCCAACACTGGCTTTATTTTCATTCATTCCCTTACCCCACTGATCCAGGTGGAGTAGTATTCTTTGCTCTTTATAACCACTTTGAGGCACTTCCTTTACTTCCGTTACTCAGTAATCTCTCCTCCCCTGAGGTTTATTCAAATCATATCTACCACCCAATCAAAATTCTGGTAACTATTGGCAAACAATCTCCAAAACACTTCCTTTCTTTCCAGAATGAATCCATTGCCTGATATTTTGGTCCTTCTCTCATACGAGGGTATGTCGACATACACATTGATACTCTCTTAACTGCCCTAACCTCCCTGTTCCTCAACATATTCATTTCACATAATGTACTTCTCCATCCCATTTAAGCCACCAAAAAAGTGATCATGTACTTGATCTTGGCAATGTCACCATCCTGCTAAAGCCAATAGTCCTTGAAATCATCATCCTCCTCCTCATCATAATCATAGTTTACATTTATATGACATTTTATGATTTATAAAGTTCTATATATATGTGTGTATCTATGTATATAGATACAGATACACACACATATTATCTCCTTTGATCCTCTCATCGACCCTGTGAAGTAGGTACCATTATCATTACCATGTTACAGATGAGGAAACTGAGACTAAGAGAGTTAAGTGACTCATCTGGGGCTCCAAAATTCTAAATGTCTGTCGCAAGATTTGAACTCAGATGTTCCAAACAACAAGTCGATCAACTACACCAACTTGCAGTTTAATATTAATATATTAAGCCATTAAATCTTACCTATCCTTCTTTCCCAAAATATGTGGTACAAATCATAGTATTCATGGTATTTCTTTCCTTCTCCATCATACCGCCATGCAATGTTTGCGATCTTATTCCCAAACTTTAGTCTAAATTATTCCTTCTGTTTAGTTTATTTGAATTATATTTTCACAACACTGTCAGCTCTGATTCCCTTTCAGTGATCCTTACCTAGGTATTCTATACTATCTTCCCTCTTCCCAGCTCCCAAGATATTGCGTATCTTCATATGGACATATCTTCTTATTATACAATGCTTTTTCTCTGCCTCTTTTAACTCTTCTGTTCATTGTGAATATGGTGTACACTTCCAAAAACATACTCATCATAAATACTTAATCTCACCTAATCTAATTGAACCGACAATCTCAAATTTTCTTCATGAGCTGGGATCTATTTTGCCCAATTTATTATTCATTCTTTGTGCTTGATGTATATAGATATTTTAGGCCCTTTTTTACTGCTGGATTCCTCATTTGATTCTTTTCTCCTGATAATTACTCTTTTCTTCACTTATTAATACATTGGACTTAGTTTTATTTTATGGCAACCATATTAGTAGATCTATGCAAGCACTTTCCTCTTGTTCCCTCCTTTTTCAGTTTGAAATATATTACTTAGCTTTAATGTTAAGCGATTCTTCTCTTCTTTGCAATGCTATTCTATTCTCAAATCTCCAATACAGCTTAGAACTTATCTTTCCTTCCTCAGCCGTTTTCTTTCTTTCCTTGAAGCAATGTTCTTTTCTAAGAAATAAAAACATTACCTTTTTCTCTAAATATATACCTTGTTACGTACCTGTAATTCACCACACCTGCTGATCTCCACCTATGTTGAAAAGCACAAGGTATGATTCACAATCTTCTGAATAATAAATCCACTGCAATTATTTCAAAGAACACTTTATTATTACTAAAAATTGAAAGTAGAGATACATTCCCCTAACACTTTCACCTCTTTCAGAATAGAGTACAACCTATAAAATGTGCTACATAGTTGCTGTTTTGTACTGGTAGGAACACAAATGTGCCATACTCTCAAAAAGTCACTGTAAAATTAGTCTATCCCAGTCCTTTAAACTTTTGGGGGGGGTTGAGTTTCTTAGACAAATCTCATGACTAAATTTTGTACAAAACTATCTATTTACTATATATACATATACACATGTGTGTATATGTGTGTGTGTATACACACACACATACACACAGACTGATCTGAGGGATTATTGGCCTAGGGGTGGCCTCCTGAGTAATACTTAAGTTATCAAAGTGAGCTTTCCAATTTTTCTGTAGATAGAATGATGCAATCTTCTCCACTACCTTTCATATGCAATTAATATATTCTTTTTTTATAATTTTTTTTCTTTTGGCTAGGCAATGGGGTTACGTGACTTGCCCAGGCTCATACAGGTAGTAAGTGTTATGTTTCTGAGGCCAGATCTGAACTCAGGTCCTCCTGACTCCAGGGCCAGTGCTCTATCTACTGCGCCACCTAGCAGCCCCCAATTAATATATTCTTTCCTGGATTTTATGCAAACAGAATCAGAGAACCTGATCTATAAGCAGAAAGCAATTTATTTAATTAGATACAGATATAGATTGTGTTTCTCTTATAACAATTCTGTACCTTAATTCTGTACACAGAAGTAGTCAGAGGTGTCATTGATAGCCACTTAGCCATGAAGTTTGTACATGACCTGTGGGTAGAAGATTTTAGTACGTCCAATGGTTTCTTTGGTTTACAGAGAGTCAGAAACCCTTTTTTTCTTTCAACCCTAGTTCTACCCATAGGGCAGCTGATGAATTCGTTGTTGAGAAGTGTGTAGATCTGTGGAACTATCCAATAAAAAGTGGCGGACTTTTCTATCTCACTCTGCAATCCTGCCTTCTTCACTTGATCTAGACATATTTTATTGAACATTAGTCAAGGGAACTTTGCACACTGGAGTTGACCCTTCATAGAAACATTATGTGTGATTGTGTGTGTGTGTGTGTATGTGTGTATACACACACATACACACACAGTATTGAATAATATTGCAATGCATAATAAAAATGTTTTAGTTTACTAAATAAGACTGCTGCTCTATCTCTCCTAAGCTATAGAAGTCTCCCCATAAACTCCCAGACATAGGATCAATCTTACAAAGGTGTTCTAGAACACAGATAGTTTGAATTTTTTAATCTCCTTGTTAAGGAAGAAAATAATGTCCACTTAATGCTTAATGCTCCACAACAGTAGTTCCCAAGGTACTTTGTTCTGCAAACTCTTTCAACAGCAGCAAAATGGGTTGTAAATCACTGGGGTAATTTAATGTGCTACTCAAAATATTCGTTAAGTGCTTACAATAACTACAGTAACTTTGGTCCCCAAACTCCAAATTAAAATTTACAGTATATAATTGTGTTCATAAATTATAAACATTTATTCTACTTTTAATTTAAAAACTTTACATATAAAATTATGTTTACAAAATAATTAAAATAAATTATATGAAACATTCTCTAAAAAGTAAAAGTAGTCTAGAAAACCTCATATTCATACTGTTATCTATAAAACTTAACATTAAATTAATTTTATTTAATAAAAACAATATCCTTAGTTAAATAAATAATGAGTTGAAAGTTGTTTAATCCTTGTGGTGGTTTGGAAACAATTTGATGACAAGTTGTGAAATGGAAAGAAATGTTGCATTTAGTCAGAAGGAGTTGAATTTGAGGTAATTGCTGCACAAAAAAATTGTTGTGAACATAATCATAACAGTTTTGAATCACTGCAGAAATAAACCTATAAAAGTTCAAACATACACATGCTTGTTGACACAGGAGAAAAATATATTTGCAACAAAATTTCCCAATTATTATTTGCTTAAAGAGCCTTTAAAGAATTTTTAGTGTGAACCCATTGGACAATTGTCTCAAATATCCAAGATGTTAGCAAACCATTAAATATAAACAACTGGTCTAGAGGAAGAGATGGAAATAGGGAGATTATGGATTTGTACTGTAGTTGAATTTGGGGGTTCCTGCTCATATACTTGGCATGGAACTCAGTCCTGTCTGTCTTGTCATTATCAGGGGATATTCAACCTTTTTGAATCATGGGTTCATCATGAAGCAGAATGAGTAGACTTGTCAGAAAGCACTAGCAAAAAGGATGTTGCCATCACTTGTCCTTTTTTTCTGACCATTAACTTCAAAACTTTCTTCTCTCACAACTGTCACTCTTCCTCTTCCATGCTTACATTCCTACCATTTCAGTTTTAGGGGAAAAGGAAAACAAAATAAAAGGGATGAAACAAATAAACATAAATTTATAACTTTATAGGACAGAAATTAATAGAATCCTAATTGTATCTATTCAGGTTTCTTCTCATAACTACTCCTTTCAAAATTCATCTCTGCCTACTTGGCCTTCATTATAATATATATATGTGTATAAATATGTATATATATATATATATATATATATATACATACATGTATGTATATATATACACATATGTGTACATACATATATATGTGTGTGTATGTATATATAAATTATCTACATAAATCAATTATCTTTAGGCAGAAAACAAAAAAACTTACAAATGCAAGTAAGAATTTAAAAATCCAAGAAAAAATAAAATTATAATGAAAATCTAAAAGAATTATCTCTTCATATTACTTCAAATAGTTTAATAGATTTTATATGGGTTTATACTCTAAAATAGTTCTGTTGAGAGGTTTGTATGTATGCGCTTATTTCAAAGAAATTTATCACCCTTTATTTGGCTCAATTTGATGGTCATCTTTGTCAATTGTTAGAGAGGAAATACCTTAATCAGAAAGTAAACTCAATAATTGTTGCCATGAGTCCAGTTCCCATTAAGAAGGTTTTCACCTTATTGACTTCCCACCTACTGACTTTCAGTGGCCTGTAACATCATACATTTATAGTATTCCTGGATTTATTGGGTCTTTGTACTCATCTCTCTGTTTTCATCCAGGAAAAAAAGAGCCCGTGCAATGGAACTCTGGAATACCACCTTGGAGAACAGTTTCTTCCTCATTGGGATTCTCCAGGAGAGTAAGTATCCTGGACTGGTTTGTGCCACAATCACATTCCTCTACCTGGTGGCTGTGACCAGCAATGGCCTCCTGCTCCTGTTGATTGCTATGGACAAGCAGCTCCATGTACCTATGTACTTCTTGCTCAGCCAGCTCTCACTTACGGATCTGCTCTTTACAACTGTTGTTTCCCCCAAAACATTTGTGGATTACTTGCGTGGAGAGAGCATCATTTCTTTTTCAGGCTGTGGATTTCAGATATTTATGATACTGACAATTGGAGGTGCTGAAGATATCCTGTTAGCCTTCATGGCATATGACCGTTATATAGCCATTCAACATCCCCTGAGCTACATGGTCTTCATGAGACCAAAAGTTTGCTGGTTCATGGTGGCCACATCCTGGCTCTTGGCATCCATGAATGCCCTTGTGCATACCACATACACTATGCACTTCCCTTTCTGTAGAACCCGGGAGGTAGGCCACCTGCTCTGTGAGATCCCTCCTTTGTTGAAACTGACATGTGCTAACACCACAAAATACCAGTTCATGATATACACAATGGGTATGGCATTCCTCCTCATCCCCCTCTCTGCTATCATTGCCTCCTATACACTAGTTTTGACAGCTGTGTTCCACATGTGCTCAACACAGGGGAGACAGAAAGCTCTCCTTACCTGCTCATCCCATCTGACAGTGGTCGTGCTCTACTATGGAGCTGCTATGTTCATGTATGTCCTGCCCAGTGCTTACCACAACCCTCAGCAAGATAATATCATCTCTGTGTTCTATACCATTATTACTCCAGCCTTGAACCCCCTGATCTATAGTCTGAGGAACAAGGATGTACTGGGAGCCCTGAAGAAGTTGCTAGGGAAAGGCCCCTCAGGTCAAGAATTGTAGAACCTTACACAGGTCTTTGCTTGCTCTTCCAGCTGAGAGGTAGTAGCTAGCAAATTCCCACTTGTCTGGAATGTCTCATGGGCACCATAACAAAATATTCTCATTTATTCTTACTTTAACACTACTGTATTCTATACATGAGGTCATTCACAATGTGAGAGGCAGCTACAGAAGGGACAACAGAAGGAAAATTCTAGAGGGGTACAAAATATTTGACTTCTCCAATTCCTGGTAATAAGTGTGCCCAGGTAACAAAACCCACACTTCATAATGCATTCTAGAATTTTTTTTTAAGGAATAGTAGTCAAAATTAGCAGCCTATAGCTTGAAAAATACACTTTTGCAATTTTGAAAACCAACATAAAATTTGTCCCTCTCTGGTCTTGTAACTCTTCTCTCCATCTTCATCACTTTCAAAGGCCACGAGTAACAGCTCAGCAATCAGTTATGTGAACAGCACATCCTGTATAATAATTTCTCCCACAAGTCCATTCAGCCTCTACTTGGAGATTTCAAGGAAGTATACATCCACTATTTCCAGGGGAAATTCACTTTTGGCCATACGTTAATGAGTTTTTACTTTTATCAAGTAAAGTTGAGGGTCACCAAACTGAGCAATAGAGAGCAGTGTATTGAGCATAAACAGAAAGCTACTTGCTAGAAATGGAGAACTATTCAAAAGACATAGTGTAAAAGATGCTATAAGGAGGCATGCATGACTAGGAAAAAATATGGGCAGTCAGATAGTGACAGCAAGGAATAAACTATAGACATTGCTGCACTGATGTCTATGCAATATCAAGACATTTAAAAAAACAAGCAAAGAAACAAACAATTAAACCTTCTGCACAAGATTAACAGGACAAAAAATAAGTAAGTTATTTTCCTACATCATCCTACCAACAGATCTGTCAAAGCATAAAAGTAGAGCTTGGCCTTTATAATTGTTTGAGTGACATTCAGGAGTTTGCATTAAGACAGAAAGATGTTTGGGATCATTATGGGGATTAGAAGAAGGTACTGTTCATATTCAGAAAATACAAAGTCCTGAATTTCTTGGAGAAGTCGGTATTTAGCTGTGCTATATACTGTAAAAATCCTTCCCATAGCTGCTAATGGGTGCTATGTGGGTCCATAAAGTAGTTTTAAAGAATCCAAGTCTCTCTTTTTTTTTTTTTGGTTATTCTTGACTTTGGAATTCCACTATAATGGAGAGCCTGCAGCAAGTTTCTCTGCTAGGTCAAGCCTGTTGCATTTCCCCTCTCCTTCAAAGGTCAGTAGAATGTCCTTCAAGGACAGCTGCAGGACCATTGGATCTGGAGTCAAGAAAATCTGAGTTAGACAGAAACTAGTTGTTTGACCTTGGGAAAATCACTTAACTTTTTCCTTATCTGTAAAATGGGAACAACATTGTTTTGTTTTAAGGACTAAATAATAAATGTAAAGCACTGAAAATCTGAAAGCACTATGTAAGTGCCAGCTATGATAATAGTAACAAGATTATTATGTTTGATATTATTGTTGTTATTATTGTCTTTTTCAAAGGCACAAGCTTCATCTGCCTAGCATAAAACAAATTACTTGTAAATGAATTGATTAAAGCCGCCTAAAGCAGATTGGGCAAGAGTTAAAATAACAAACCTGTGCCACTAGCTTTTATTCAATAGCTTCTCTGTGCTCTTCTGTAGAGGACCACAAGGGAGTAGGACTCTGACACTGATGGCTGTGTAAGCCCTCTCAGGTGAGGAGCCTGCTCCTTGGCCTGGATCAGTTCTCCACTCCCCTGAAAGAAGGGCGGGTAGGCAAGCTCAACCATAAACAATGTTGCTAGCTCTAGCACAGCTAGCTCTAGCAAAACCATGTATCAAGTATTGCTGGCTCAGGTATCAAGTATTGGGACATTCCGGGAACAAGAAGTACGTGGTGTTTTCACGGGAACAGCCTGGGAGAAGGACACAGCCAGGAGATTGACGTGCTTGTTGATACTTTGATTGGTATTCGCATGAGAAAAATTCTCAGTATTGCGTATTGGTAAAGATACATAAACTTTGTTGCTTTGATCGCTGTTCCATTGGGGTATGTTCCCATGAGTCAAAGATATAAAACGCTGTGCTGTGCCTTGAATAAACGGAGCTTCACCATCTTGTCTCCCTGCCTTTCATTGTTCGGCGCAGGTTATCAGAAACTAAGCTGGTACTTAGCATTTCTGGAGAGAGTTTAAGACTCTCACAGCCACAGAACTGGAAGCGGATGCGCAACACTCTTCTTTTTCTTCTTCGTTTTTCTTTTTTAATATTTCCTTCATTTATTCTTTCAAAGCTCTCCATTTACCCGAATAAGTTGAAGATCAGAGAGGCAGTCCTTCAATCCTTTCACTTACTGCATTCTTTATATGTGTAGTTTTTTTCTCAACTTTGAAGAAGTACGAATTAGCGCAATGGGTATTACCCCAAGCTCTCTCCTGCGTAGCACTTTTCCTTTTCTCTTTATATTACCTCAATTTTGGGCCTTATCAATTCACATGGGTTCAAAATAACATTTCTGTGGGCAGCTAAGTGGCCCAGTGAATAGAGCACTGGCCCTGGAGTCCAAAGACCTGAGTTCACATCTGGCCTCAGACACTTGACACTTACTAGCTGTGTGACCATGGGCAAGTCACTTAACCCAGTTGCTTAGCAAAAACAAAACAAAAAAATAAAATAACATCTCTGTGCAGATGTTTCTCATATCTATGTATCCATCCCACCCTCATTTTTATGTTCCAATCTCCCTTTATCAGCTGCTTTTGAATAGCTCAAATTGGATGTACCATAGTCTTCTTAAAATCAACATATCCAGAACAGAACTCACTATCTTTCTCCCTAAAAACCTTCCTCTCTTTCCAACTGCTAAAGGAACCATTATAGTCCCTCTCACCCGAATTCCCAACCTCAATGTTATTCTAGAATATATTCGATCTTTCATCTAAACTTGTGTTTTTTACTTTGTCATCCCCCATCTATGTTCCTTTATTACCTCCCACACAACTAACATCATTGGAATACAGGCATACCTCAGAAATATTGCAGGTTCAGTTGCAGACCAGCACAATAAAGCGAATATTTCAATAAAGCAAGTCACATGAATTTTTTGGTTTCCCAATGCATTTAAGAGAACCTTAACACCAGGTTAGTTGCAAGGCAATGGATTTTTCAACCATAGCAATTCTGAAAGATCTTTTATTAAGTTATAGATGGTTTTAAATTTGTATAGTTGAGGGAACTACACAGCAATGAAAGAGCAAAGGAACTGCAGATTCTAAAAGCACTGAAGTGTTTAACAGAAGCATTATCACCTCCAATTCAAAGATAAGGAACGTGAAGCTAAGAAAGGTGGATTGCTACTGGCTATAAGAAATAGTGAGCTCAAGGATGTTTGAAAAACATGGAAAGACTTACATAAAATGATGAAGAGTAAAATAAGCAGAACCAAGAGAACATTATATATCATTTGAAGCAATATCATTTGAAGAACAACTTTGAGTGACTAAGTCATTTTGACTATTATAAATACCCAAATTAACTACAAAGAGCATATGAAAGAAGAGCCTACCTATACTTAGAGAAAGAACTGATAAATAAATGTATAGAATGATTTTACATGTATATGTATTAATATGCATACACACTCATATATAAAAGGTATGGTGTATTTGAGTATGTACGTCTAATTGTAGCCGTCTTTAGGAAGAGGGGAGGGGTAAAAATGTACATGAGAGCTTTATTATATATTTAAATGGAATAACAACTTATACACAATAGATTTGAAGTTTCATGTGCAATAATATCTTAATTATGCTATGTTATGGAAATGCTTATTTTATCCCATAAATTAAAAATAAAATAAATTTTAAAAAAAGAAAGGTGAAGTGACTTGGCCAAGGTCACAAAAGTAGCAAATGTCTGATCCTGGAATTCAGTTCTTTTTAATACAACTCAGACATTATTTCTATTATACTATGCGCATCTCAATAGCTACCCCACCCACAAAAAAAAAAGTTAGACACAGAAACTCAAAGGTTCATAGATGTACAATTGAAAAGAATGGTAGAAGTCTTCTGATATTCCCCATTTTACAGGTGAGGAAATTGAGGCCAAGGAAGTTTAAGTGGCTTGTCGATGGTCATAAGGTAGTAGTAGAGAGGTGGATTAGTGTCTCTGTGTAAGGGCTTGCTGAGCCCTTTTGAGGGATGCTCATCTACTTTTGCTGTCTACTTGGTACTCAGCTCTCACCTTTTGCTTCAAGAAACTGTAAAATGAGCAGCAGCTACACCCTAGTAAACCATTTCAGCAGACAATTGAACCAGGTTGACAGTTACCAACAGTCCCCAAACCCATTGGTAAATTAGGGATTGTCTAATCCCAGTGGAATGAGTGGATGAGGATAATCTGTTCAAACAGCCATGAAAGCCCCTGAAGCAGGTGTTCTGGAGTGTTTACTTTGGGTAGACATTGAAAACAAAAAGGCTATACACTGCATCTCAGACTATCATTAGTCATCTTGACTTTTGTCTTGGCACTGGACTTTGATGATTCTGGAAGACAGAGTGAGGTTGAGAAGTTTGTGCAACTCTCCCTCACTTAAATCCAATTCACAAGGAAGACTAGACATCACCCCATGATGTCATTGGTCCTCTTTGAAAATGAAGGACTAACAAAAGCAAGGTGGTTATTTAAAGTTTGGCAGAGGGGACATTTGATTCCTTAAAAAAAATTTGGGAAAGCACTTTCTCAATTATTGAAAATAAATTTTGAAGTAGATACATTCATTTCCAATTTAAAAGCTTAATGTCACTCACTTGATAATTTATGAATTTGCTGCTCGTAACTTTAGTTATTATATGGCTGAGACAAATTTGTTGGAGTTGAATGAGGAAATGGTAAGAGACTGAACATATATCAAGATTATAGCCTTACAGTAGATGACGGACAAAGTGAAGTGGGTGACATCAGTGAGGAAGACAGTGCACTACCCCCTAGCTGTGGGATAGTAGAGATAAAGAAGCCATAGAAAAGCATAGTAGCTCAGAAGGAGGAGAAATAGCTAGTCTGAAGCCTTACATGATTCCATGAGACAGTTCTTTCAGGCCAGTTTGAAGATGGAAGAAACAACACAGAAAATGTGGTTTAAGACATTGTTACCACAGAAAGTGACAGGTAAGATGTAATTGACCTTGATTACAGCAATAGAGAAACCACATACTCAAGGGCTAGCAGTCAACTGGATATAGAACTCCACCGTCTTGATGACAGGTTAGTAGAGTAGGAATTAAGTTAGCAAGCACCAAAAGTGAATGAAAGTAACATCTAAATTAATATACAAATTTAATGCTATGGCAAAGTGTCAACAACATACATTATTGAATTAGAAATGATAATGACAAAATTCTATTTAGAACTTTACAACAAACTCTTCTTTAGGTTTCTCAGGTACTAAAATCTCTGTCCTGAGGGGCCTTTCCCTATAACCTTCTTCAGGGCCCCCAGAATATCTTTGTTCCTCAAGCTGTAGATTAGGGGATTCAGGGCTGGAGTGACAATGGTGTAGAACAAAGAGACAATATTGTCTTGCTGAGGGCTGTGGTAGGCACTGGGTAGGACATACATGACCATGGCAGCTCCATAGTACAGCCCAACCACTGTCAGATGGGATGAGCAGGTAAGGAGAGCTTTCTGTCTCCCCTGTGCTGAGGGCATATGGAACACAGCAGTCAAGACTAAGGCATAGGAGGCAAAGATGGCAGAGAGGGGCATCAGGAGGAAGGTCACACCTGTTGTGTATAAAATGAACTTGTACTGTGAAGCATCAGCACATGCCAGCTTCAGCAAGTGGAGGGATCTCACAGAGCAGGTGGTGAATCTCTTGGTTTCTACAGAAAGGGAAATGCATGGTGTAGATGGTGTGTACGAGGGCACTCAGAGATGCCAAAAACCAAGATGTAGCCACCATGGACCAGCAAACCTTTGGTCTCATTATTACCATATAGTTCAAGGGATGTCGAATGGCCACGTAGCGGTCATATGCCATGAAAGCTAACAGAATATCTTCTGCACCCCCAAGTGTTAGTGCCAGGAACATCTGAAGCCCACAGCCTGTAAAGGAGATGGTGTTTTGTCCACCCAGGTAATCTACCAATGTTTTGGGGGCAACAACTGATGTGAAGAGCAGGTCCAGAAGTGAGAGCTGGCTGAGCATGAAGTACATGGGCACATGGAGCCGGTTGTCCATAGCAATCAACAACAGCAAGAGACCATTACTGGCCATGGCCACTAGATAAAGAAGTATGATCGTGACACAGATGAGTTCAGGGAATCTGCTCTCCTGGAGAATTCCAATGAGGAAAAAACTGCTTATCAAGGTTGTGTTCCCGAGTTCCATTCCACAGATTCCTCAATTTCCTGTAATCGGAGGCTCAATGAATGTGTATCCCAAATGATTCAGGAGTATTCTAAATCTGTGATGCTAGAATACATTGAGTTTTGTACTTTAAAGTCAGTGAGTTGACAAATTCCCTACTGTACTCAGACACCTGACTCAGAAATAATGCTGAGATAACATTATTATTCTGCTTCCACTCAGATAATAGAGCTGATGTGCTTACAAATATGCTGATCTTCTGATAATTGAACAGTTTAAGAGAGTTTGACAGATGTGGAATATAAAAACGGAATCTTTTCTGAGTGTAGTTCTGTTAAAGATTTTTGATATTCTTTCCAGAACCCTGACTTCATGCAGACAGAAAAGAAGAGAGCTATATATGTATATTTTTTTATTTCCTGTGTCCGTTATATTTTTTTTCTTATTTAAGGATACATGACTTCATTTTCTTATTCTTCAAAACAAAAAACCTAGTATCTTTCCTAGCTATAGACCTATATCTCTCCTCTATTTCTTGGCTCAAATCATTGAATAAATTATCAACACTCAGTGCCTCAACTTTCTCTCCTCTGACTCTTTCTAAACTCTCTGCAATAAGATTTCTGCCCTTGTCACTCAACTGAAATAGCTGTCTCCAAAGTTATCAAAATCTAGTGGCCACTTTCTCAGTCCTTTTCTTTAATCTTTCTATAATATCTTACACTGTTGACTACACTCTCCTCCCAGATAATTTCTCCTCTTGTGATTTTTATGACATTGCTTTCTTTTGGTTCTCCTACTAGTCCTAGTATGACTAGGACTTTTTAGTCTTCTACAATAAATCATCATTCATTTCACACCTCCTAATTGTGAGTGTACCTACAATTCTTCCCTGGACTTTTTCCTCTTTTCAAAGGTTGTCCTATCATCCCTTATAGAGACAAGTACCATCTTTGGCTTTCAGATCAAGCCTCAGTCTCCCTCGTGTTCCAGTTCCAAACCAAACTTTCTTGTTGAACATTTCAAATTGGATATCCCATAGACGTCTCAAAGTCAATGTTTCCAAAGAAAACCTACTTATTGTTTTCCCCAACCATACCTCTTGTGAACTTCCTGTTAGTATCTAGAGCATCACCATCCTTCTGAAAGCCAAGGTTGGCCATGTTTTGTTCTTCACTCTCACTCATCCCATAAATACAATTAGTTGACAAATTTTGTTGTTATTTCCATAACATCTCTCATATCTGTCTCCTCTCTACTCATATAGCCACCACCCAATTTCAGGACCTTTTCATGTATCAGTGGACTATTATGCTAGCTTTCTATTTAGTCTCCTACCTAAAGTACTCCCCTATTTTAGTCCATCCTCCACTCAGTCAACAAATACAGATTTAATTATGTCACACTCTTTGCCCATCCCAGTAAGCTCCATTGGCTTGATAGTGACTCTAAATTTGCTCTGGCATCCTTTGCCTTTCTTCATAGATTCTGTGGTCTAGAGATACTAGCCTCACCGTTACTTAAGCAGAATTTTCTTTTTTCCTGTCTCTGTCTTTCCATTAACTATCTCCTTTCCCTGAAATACCTCCTCACCTCTTACTTTTGCAACTCAGGTTGCTACAAACACTTCTTTTCAAACAATTGTTTGTTTGTTTGTTTATTTTCAAATATTGTTTTCTATGTGAAGCTTTTTCTGATCTTCCCAGCTGAAATTTTTTTCTCTCCTCAAACTACCTTGAATTAATTTTGCATATAGTCTGGATATAATTATACACATATATGTTGTCTGCCAAATCTAGCCCACAGGCCTGTTTTTGTTAAGTCAAGCTAAGAATGGTTTTTACATTTTAAAATGAAGTTTTATTGCATTTAAACATAAAAAAATTCTTAGCTCACTGAAGGGCCAATTTTGGCCTCAGGCTTTGGTTTGCTGACTCTTGGATAGACCAAGATCTAAGGGGAACTAATCATTGTAGGCTGAGTGCAGGTTGCATGGATCCAGTTTCATTAATTGGCCTGTTCACATGTTTGTGACTCTTGCCTAATGCATAATAGTTGTTCACACCATAATAATTTACATGATTAAATTTGGTTATATAGATTTATACAAAAATGTTTAGGTACTTAGGTAATGATATTCAAAACAATGAATAGCTCAAAGAACTAACCACTAATTATATTATAAATATTAAAAAATCATTATGAGACCAATAGCAGTGAAACAGAAAACCAAGTTTTGGACTAGTGCTAAAGCATTTCTTTAACTAACAACATAGCAAGAAAAAAAAGAGTATTAACTTGTTGTGTACAAAGGTTTGAATAACTAGAAAGTCCAGAAAGTATCAATCCAAACAAGCAAATAATAATTAATTTAGAAAAGGAAAGCCAAAATAAATAAAATGTAAAACATAGGAATATCATACAGAAAAGAAAAGGTTGAAATATTTTGTTCAAATATTTATAAAATTGATAAAATGATAGCACAAATTTAACAAAAATAGAGGAAAACCAAATTGACAACATAAAAATGATCATGCTGAAAGTGTAACAAACAGAGAAGTAAAGAAAGTTATCAGAGATCCCTATACCCAATTAAAAGAGCTATCATTTTAATATTTTTATTCAACCCGTATTGTTATGTGGCTAAAATAGTTTTCAAATTATTTGAAATTGTCCATGTGATAATAGAATGGAATGCAATGTGTATGAGTATATACTTAACATGTGCTATTACACCTAACAACTAGAGAATTATGAAGGAGAATTGGAATAAAAGGTACCATCAGTCAGAGTTCTGATTGAAAAAAGAAGATAGATTGATCACATGGCAAGATTGAGGCCTCTATGCTTCCTTCATATTCATATGATATCAAGAAAAAGAAAACAGTTTGTTGAGTAATCTCCTTCTCCCTGTGGTAATTCTATAGAACGAAATGGTCAATATTCCCACATGGTAGTCAAGCATGGATAGTTTATTGTCTACATAATTGGAAGGAGTACTTAAGTTTATAAATTCACAGTTTGCTGTATACGTGAGAATGAAAACTAAAATGGATGAATTAACTAAAAATGTAAAACACCAAATTAACCAGACAGGAAGAAAAGATCCTCAGTAATCCTCCTCATCAAAAGAAATAAATCAAATCATAATTTAACTACCAAAGAATAAAAATCCCCAGACCAAATGGATTTACAATCTTATCAAATATTTAAAGATAGTTAAGCTCTATTGTTTATAAAGGGTTCTTGAAAACATATAGAGAAGGTACTTTACCAAGCTCTGTTTGTGAGGTAAAAATGGTTCTGACATCCAAACCAGGCATCAACAAAGCAAATAAAGAGAACACTGTTGTTGATGTTCAGTTGTTTCCGTCACGTCCAATTCTTTGTGACTCCATTTGGGGTTTTCTTGGCAAAGATACTGGAGTAGTTTGCATTTTCCTCTCCAGTTCATTTTACATAGGTGAGGAAACTGAGGCAATAGTGTTATATGAATTTCCTAGCATCACACAGCTAGTAAGTGAGGCTAGATTTGAACTTAGGTCTTCCTGACACCAGGCCCAGAAATCTATCCACTGTGGCTTAATATGTGCAAAGAAAATATAGCAAAATGTCCAAAATATTTATTATGATCAGTTTGTATTTATATCAGAATGAAAGATTTGTTCAACATAAGTAAAGCAATAGGGGAGGCAGTGTTGCATAATAGATAAAGCTCCACCTTGGATTCAAGATGACTTGGATTAATTCTTTGACACATATTGACAACATAACTCTCAGGAAAATATTTAACGCGTCAGTTCTTTAGGCAACTAATTAAGATAAGTAAAGCTTTGTTATAAGCAGGAAAGATTCAAAGAAAGTTAAAGCACCCCTACTGTCAAGGAGATTAAATTTTATTGAAAATGACAACAAACAAATAAATATTTATATGCAGGCTGTATTCAAGGTAATTTCTTAGAGAAAGCACTAGAAGTGGAGCAGACTAATAGCAGAGAAGGTGCTAACCCGATGTGGTAGAAGAGATTTCCTCAGTAGGGTGTTCCCCATACAGGTGAAATCACAATACTGGAGCCAACCTATATCTCATCCTTAGTAAAGTAATTAGTGCAATTAATCCTATAGGGAAGAACTTTGTAATTATTTTAGGGACAGTAAATTACAGAGAAAATTTTAAGCTAAAAATAATCAAGATAATTAATAGCTTTAGCAACATATCGTGTTGTAGTGTGAATTCACAAAATTACTAGAATTTCCATTGGAAAAACTGAAAGCAGTTTGACAGAAAAATAGGGTTTGTTTAACACTATGCACTTAATACTGCAACACATTTCAAATAAATAAATGATCTATGTGTCACATTGTTAAAAATGAGAGAAGAATGCAAATAGAAAAGGCATTTTCTAAAGCTTCTTTTAAACAATTCTGATATCTAAATTACAGTTTTGATAGGGGAAGAATTCACAATCAGATGAGGGATAAAGAAGACGACAAAATATGAAATGAACCATTTAGGTCATGAAAATTATAAAGCTTTAACACTAACAGAGTCACTATAGCTAGAATAAGAAGAGAAATTACAGATTTGGGGGTAAAATATTTGCAGCATCTCTGATAAAATTTTAAAATTTAAAATATATAGGTAATTAACACAAATCTATATGACAAAATAACTTACCCCAATAGTATAGTAGTCAAAGTATATGAACAAATAATTTTTAAAGAAGGAATAAAAATTATCAACCAGTGACAAAATTATCAAAGCAGTAATAATAAAGGAAAGTTTATAAAACAGGTTTTGTCCCTTACGTAACAAATCAGCAAGGACAGTAAAAGATGGAAAAAGTCAGTATTAAAAGAGATGTAGAAATACGTTGCCACTTATTAACTGCTGGTATAGTTTTGAATTGTTCTGACTCTTTTGGAAAACATTTTGAAATTATGAGAAAAAATTACTAAGGTGCTCCTATCCTTTGATTTGATGACATCGTTAGTGAGTTTTTATATCAAAGAAGTGACAT